GGGGAGTGGGGCGGGAGGGCTAAGATTGAAAAATATAAGAGACTATAGTATGGGAAAAGGTAAAGGGGGGGCTACAGTTTCCCCAGTCCCCCCGTCTCCGCRGTCCCTGATCTGGGGATCACGGACCAGAATAATATAATGCAAAGGAATATGATCATTATTGACTACTCGTAACCTTATAATATTACATAAAACGTTTCGCAACCCTTGTTTCGCGATATCCGCAATTAAAAAACAAATCGCGAAATTAAAGTATTGCGAAAACAAGACCCTCGATCATTGAGAAAATAACGGATTCCAGTAATGACTGTTGAAAAATAGGGATGAAATACGCTGTAACTAATGAGAACTAAGTACTAGCCCCTATTAATGATCCACATCAACTGACTCAATGATTAGTACCAATATAGTATTTTATGTACTTTTTTTATAAAAAAAACTTATTCGCGAAATCGCGAAATTAAAGTGTCGCGACATATGCGCCCCCGAAATTGCGAAATTAACCTATCAAGAAAATTTCATGTAATAAGGTGCATTACCCTTGCTATATTGTAGTTAATGGTTATAGTAACTAAACTAAGTACGGTCTTACAGGGCAAGTAACCTCAAAGTAAAAGACGCCGCGTCAAATCCTCAACTCTTATACATCAGGAACAACTCTCTTGTCGTTGAAACCGCAACGGCAAAAGTGATCTACTACTCGACGTATTTTACGTCTAGAGGGCGAGGGTTTAGAATGAGATTCTACGCCTTTAGCACTGAGAATGAACGTAAGTATTTACATAGATAATGATTATTCAAAATCTATGCAGTTTTTTTATCCTAAAATTTTACGATTAAAGCTTTTTTTCTATAATTTTAGAGCTATGCAACAAAAATTGGAATTTTTCGTTAATGAACACTGTTCCTGGAAGAATCACTGTCTCTTGGGCCAACGCACCGGCACAAGTATCTCACCAACCTGGGGCAACATACACCTACCTGGTTTTATACACAATGGTTGAAAGTAGCTACACTATTTCTACCATCGTTGTGGGTTGGAGAACAGCTATGATTGACTTTCTCCATCCGAACACAAACTATTCTATACAAGTGATTGCTTTTGAAACGTCAAGTATTAATGGAACAACGATATACAGCTGTCCACAGCTGGTACAGGCCCTTGATGGTAAGTAATCACGTTCCAAGTAAGGCAACAATAAGAAAACTACTTTTTATGCTTGATAGTGCAATTCATCCATATTCCAAGTTTGTGTCCGGCGGAGAGTGCTTTCAGTATCTAAGAGGGATATAGAAAAGAGATTAACTCTCACAGCGTGAAGCCTTTGAGACGGGTCGTTGCAGTTAGCTTTTATATGGCTTTAATCTTACGCCTGAGTTGAAGTAATACAACATTCATTACAGACTTTTTTAAATATATAATCGATGAAATATTTATTTTTCTCTATTATTAAAACGGCGGATATCTTCACATGTGAAGATATTACATGATATTATATTTTTTGAGGGGGG